TCTCCTCCAGTCCGTTTCATTTGATCCATATCAGCTGTGCCACAGCTTGGGAGCCACGGTTGAGTTTGTTATTGTCCCAACTCAGGCTGAATGCACGGCAGAGCTACAAATCCTGACAATATAATATGCACAATCAGAGCTCTCGCTTTCTCTCCCGACAATGACACAGACAGAAATGCAAAGCTTCTTTAGTGTTTTGTTTACTTATTTAACCTTCATACGCAAATATTGCGCATACACATTTAGCCAAGCTTAAATTGATCTATCATTTCCACAGGATGTCTCAGTGGAATAATTGATTATAGGGCTGTCAAGATGAAGTCACATATCTATAGATTTGTGTCATCGTCTAAAAGTGGACCCCTCTCTCTCTCTCCTCCCATGAGCAGGAGCTGAGCAGAGCGATTTACAGGCTGTCGGGTGTGCTTTGTTCCCATGTAAGTCAAGTCTCGGTGGAGAAGAGACGCATAAGTGCTCCAAATGGCCCCAGCCGTCTCATTGCATTATCTTCAAATGGCACGTCTGATGGAGAAGTTAGAGAATAGCTCTACTGGCTTCTCTCATTTAGATACGCCTCCCTTATTTAACATGTAATACACCTAGATAGTCCTGTATATCTTTGTGGTAACCAAAATGTAACATGTTTACTTAAGTACAAGACCCTGGTCTTGGGGATTTGTGGTTATTCATGGTTTTGTGCCATGTGATGTCTTCTGAAGCAATCTTCATATGGATTCATAGGGTTCTGGGTGCCTTCTCATAGATAAAACAGCATCAAGCCTGCATTAATACTGAGTCACCTATTATAGAGGGTGATTATGAGGAAGCTTTCGAGCAGAAGAGGTGAGAGAATCAACTCCTTATTCTGCCAGAGGCCAGTGTGTGGCTGCCTGGAGGGAAGAGAGCTCTGCACATGAAAGCTTGTTGATAATTTCACAAATGCCTTCACTGAAACACACACACGCGCACACGCACACACACACACACACACACTTGTATATGTGGTCACTTGTATATGGTCATATTTATGAACATTTATAAGTGTGTTTCAGTATAGATATGCATTTATTTGATAGAATAAAAACAGCAATATTGTTGAAAGAAATATTACATTTAAAAGAATTGTTTTCTATTTTCATATATTTTAAAAAGTAATTTATTCTTGAGATGCCAAAGCTGAATTTTCAGCAGCCATTTATCCAGACTTCAGTGTCGCATGATCCTTCTGAAATTATTCTAATATTGTGCTCAATACTAACAACCTGAACATTGATATCTTAATTGTGAGCTTTTATTCAGAAAATATTTGAATGATTAAAGAATCCATATAAACTTTGACTAGCAACTTATGAAAAATCAGTTTTAAGATGTGTGCTAATAAAATTTTCTAATTGTAATGTATAATGAGAGCACTGGGTCTGAATAATATGAAGCCACAGACAAATAACTTATGTGAAGCCTCACTGGTGCCTGACTAATTGAAAGTGTAAATATTGTAAAGCATCAACTTTTTCATGTGAAAGTGACTGAATGACAGCCTACTCGGCCTTTATGTTCTCCAAGCAATTTATCATTCTTTTCCACACATGGGTAATTTATCTAGCTGAAGAGAGAAAATATGTTTACACTGTGGTTCTTATAGGAAAGACATCTTGATATTCCACTTTTCTAAATTACTTGTCAAGCAAGGTGTGTCAGCAGATGGAGGTGAAGTGACATTTTCTCCCCCACAATTTCTCCCAATTTAACTCTTTCACAATGCTCCTACTTGCCTGACATGGAGGTTTTACTGTCTCTGCTAACCCTTTATTTAAATAAAAATGAAAAATAAATATTATACATCTAAATATTATATTAAAAGAAAACACAAGTTTTATATGCAACAGAGAGTAATCTCATACTAGTCTTATGAGTCCTTGTTGTTGCTAGATACAATATTTTTTGTACAATAATTATATAGAGATAATTATATCTCAGATAGCAATTAATGGAATATAATTACCCCAACATATAACCACAAAACATTCCAAGGCTGACAGATACCAGGTGTCAACAATGTAATGAAATCATATTAAAACAGATTTATAAACATATACTGTTTAAATATTATAGCTTATCATAGACCATATTTTCTGACCAGAATGCTGCACATGTACAGTATATGTCACAGATGTGCACCATGAAATTATTCTGCAAATTTAAATGACAGACCAATTATTTTTGCACACAAAAAAAAACCCCACCAGATACGATTCAGTAGTACAATTTTATTTTTAAAACTAAAAAAGTCAGCAAGTTGCAATTAAATTAGTTCAATGCACAATATATAATAGTTTTACATTTTGGTATGTGATGCATACATTGTGCAACAACCTCTGATTACTCAAATATATATTAATGGCTTGTTCCAGACAAACAATAACACTTATTCTGTTCTGACGACACCGACTTACTTATCCCTATAAACATTTTCTCTTACTCTGTACACACAATAGACTGTCAAGAAGGCAAATATTGATATGTACATTCATGCAATACAATTCTGAGTACCTTATACAGTATAATATGTACAGTATAATACACATATATCTTTAATTCATATATCTTGTTGAATGGATGAATGACTGTACAGTAGATTGTGAGAATGTTTTAAAGAATATGAAGAGAGATTGCTCAGTTGTATATGGTTGTATATTCAGTGTTACTATGCATAAACATTGCATCACTCTTTTCTAAGTATAACATGTTCAATATATAGTTTCAATGAAAAAAAAAAAGAAACAATAGAGAGAATCTGGTTAAGAGTGATATTACAAGCTAAATTTAGGGGTTAAGCTTGTTTGATGAATCACCTTGATACATCTTTAAAGCGTCCACTAACCCACATGAAATCACAGTATTATCAACTTTAAAAATAGCTTTAAACCATCTTAGTAAAAGCTTGTAACATCCTAGTTTTTAAGAGTTGCCAAAAAAAGGTCAAGAAGAGACTTGATGTGAATCTAGAATGATTTGCAAACATTCCAAAGAGATGGACCACATGACGTGATAATCAAATCCAGTTACACACGTGCACTGTTTTCTATTAACCATACTGATTTGAGAAAATGACTGACTAATGTAAAATCTATATACTTCCCAATGCATTAAGTTCTAAAAAAAAACACTATTTAATACATTTAGCCCCAGTTTCACAGACAATGCTTAAGGCTAGTCCTAAACTAAAATGCATGTTTGAGCTGTCTCAACTGAAAATAACTTGCACTGACATATCTTAAAATATGTCAGTGCCATTGTTTTGTCTCAAGATGCATGCCAGTAATGTTTTTTTATAAGTCATTTTAATATAAGCTGCTTAAATATTCTAATTTAACTAAGGCCTAGTCCTGGCTTAAGCTAAGCTCTGTCTGTGAAACTGGGCCAAAGTATTTCAACTTCAAAATGTAATTTTATGTAACCATTTTATTTCGTTTCCCGCTTGTAATATATCTACTTGGAGCAAAATTATGGACCCCTTTGACGAACAAATCCTGACTAATTGTGAATTGTTTCAGTTGTAACCAAAAACTGAACAGGTATGTGCAGCTACTGAAAGGTAAACGGATACAGGACATCCATCATATTGTGTACATTCCATATAAATGTAACACCGAAAGCTAAACTAGTTAGAGATGCATCATGTTAGGACCATATCTGTTATAAGACAACATTAGTCAATTTTTAATCAGTATTTGTCCATATTGGATATTTATTTGCAGATAATGGATATTTAATTGTGGACACTTGCTTTGTCTTGTCTAGGGCTAACTTAAATACATTACGGCAAAGATTTAACACTTTAAGAGCACGATTTCCTAAAGAGTGCCTTCCTGTAATGGGACTCTCACCCATTATGATTTTTTAAATCTCAACTACTCAATCAATTGTTCATCTTAAAATAAAGAGTTATCCATATTTCATACTGTACATTATGTTGTCTATGCATCCAAACATAGCTTTGACATTTACAAAAGCTAACAATTTTAGTTTGTGGGGCATTTTATTTTTGGACAAAATAGTACAGATTTTAATATCAGCTATTTATCAGCCATAACATGAAATTATTCATCAATCCATCCCTAAAAACTAAGTTGTTGTTGTTTCCATGTATTTAAAATTAGATATCTTTCACATGTGGGCTACACCATCAGACAAATTTGTATACATATGTATAGAATGGTCAGACTACAATCTGTTAACTATTAGCGATGCTAATGCTAGCCTTGTTTTTTGTATTATAAATATGCACCTCAAGAACTCAATCCTTTCCAATTGCATAGTAACACAAACTGCAAAAAAACATTTCTTATTCTACCTTGTATATTTGGTACACAAAATGCAGGACCACCCAATCCCATTTGGAGATTGTATAAAAACAATGGGGCCAATTGACCTATCGGTAAGCCCCGCCCTCCTTAGTTACTGTTGCTCACTCGGACAAACAAACGGAGTTGCTCACTGTCTTACAATGACAGCTGTCAGTGAAAACCTTCTTCCGGGGTGTTTCTGATAAATTTGGGACACAGATGGACCTTCAAGTGGGACTTAAATATACCATGGAGGGATATATAAAAGATATTAAAATAAATATGTAAAAATACAGATCACAATGCAAACGGGAGAATTATGTTACGGTCGTCACGATCGCAATGACAACATCCTGGACCAACACCGTTCATATACTGCAGAGTAAGATTAAATTAATTTACATTTAACCAGATTAATATGGAGAGGCACTCTAATATAGACCTTCGTTTATGTGTTTTTGACTTTCACTGCACGGTACATGACGTGAGAACAGTTCGCTATTTAGGTTTGTACGTTAGCATGGACTCACTAACTTTAACGCTAATGTTAGCTAGTTTTAGCCAGAGATACCTTGCTGAAGCACAAGATGACATTAACGTTCTGCTTGAACAGATGAAAAGTGTAACATTTTCAATTATCCATTAAACACTCACACAATCTACATGAGGTGAGAGAACCCTTAACGTTTAATGAGGAACACTGCAAAGAGAGTTAACGACAAGAGAAGACAGGAATTTTAAAACATCACTGCATTCAACAAAGTGCATGCGTTTATTTTGTTGATGTTGTATATTGTCCTCAAAGGGGCCCCGGGGGGCCGCCAGGTTGAGTCTCATGATATTCGTGCAGCTGTCAGCATCGGTATGAGTTTCCGTGTCTCCTCAAAACCTGCTTATACTTGCCTATACACATCAGTCATTACGTATTCACCTTAGTCTTTTCTTTAAACATCATTTTATGTCTCAAGAAGGGCAGGCATGAGGTTTACAGTTCCTAAATTCATAATATACCTTGCGTCCATCTCATAAACCCAAAGAGAGATGGTGGTGCTGTATGGTACAGAATGTTCAGCTGTACATGCCTTGCTGTAGCATGGGCACTATACTCCAGTGTTATTGGTTTCCACTACCTGCTGTTTACAGCGTGAGCTCATGGCATACTCCCCTCGGCTTGTGCCGTTCTCTTCTTTTCTAAGGGGTTTCCTGGAAAAGAGAACAAAAAGATTAAGCTTCAAACAACTATTTTTGCTCAGATTGAGGATGCTATTGATCAGGTTTTAGAGGCTTGAGATTTGTGCAACGAAATACAATGTCTCAAAAGCAAACAGAAAACCTAGGAAAGGAAAACACAAATAGTACTTATGGTAGGTTCAATTTAAATCACAGTGTTTTCTGCGTGCTGTATTTGTTCTATTTTACAGTCAGTGTTTCAGGAAGCCTGAGTGCACACTTTTAGACACTGCTTGAGACACTCTAGTTAATAAGTGTCTAGTTAATAAACAGCAGCACAGGTCATCAAAGTGAGTTATTCTGCAGTTTAAATGACTTCCCGCAAGCCATAATGGCTGCTGGACTTAAAAAGCTGTGGTATGCGCTCTGGCCTGTCCGTTCTTTATTACGATTTGAAATATGCAACCTGCCTGCAGCCAATTGCCTTCATAACTGCATTACAATCCAGAGCTGGCCAAACAGTGGAGCACGCAGATCCAATCTGTTGATATTTTGTTAAATCATGTCAGTCACATATTGACTTATTGGTAGAGAGGGCCTGAGGTAAGAGCTGGTCATGTAGAGAGATGGATTCTGATGATTCACATTTTGTAAGATGCCAAAATTAATATTAGTAAAGGTTTGAATCAGTTGGGGCATATCTAATGCTTCAGATTTTGCAAAGTAAGGCTGTACAGAAAGCTGCCACATGAAAGCAGCTATCTACAATGTTCAATAAGCTAATGGAGTAGCCTGATGCCAAGCAACTACGTCACTGCTAAAACGACACGTTCATACAATAGGGCTCAACTGAATGGCTTATGGATGTAAAAATGCCATTCAGAATCTCCATAGTGAAATTGATTTTCAGCAATACCCGATAAATATTTTAAGACACCCTTAATATAACTCAGAGGTTAAGAGCTGAAGTATGCCTCTGTAGAAACTTAGCCTGCTTTCTTTTTTTAGTAAAGCCGAATTAAGTGAAATCCACTAAGAAGACAGTAACCATGGAAATGACACTAAAGTTGACTGTACACCTCACTAAATTCACAAATTAGTGAAATTTCTTTCAAACTGATATCTAGAGAATTACTCAACAGCACAACAATATAATATAAAACCACAATATATACACCACCATTCAAAAGTTTCGGTGACCCCATGTTACAACAACGTAACAAAATATTAAGTATACAAAATACTCAAATGTGCACAATTGACTATAGACATTGACTGCAGCTGAAATCACATACTTTTGGAGTACATACATTACTCAAAGACCCTTTTATTTATTGGAGTGTCATTAAACAAATACAATTGAACCACAAGGAACAACTTTATTAGTACTTAGAGCACTCAAAACTGCAAATATGTGACTCAATTTTTATTTCCTACCATTACAAATTTTTGAATCTTTTTGCTTTGTATCAAATGTTAAAATTATTCAACTCAAGAGTTGTCTGGGTTTCAAGACTTAGAACTGTGTGCAGTAATAATAAATGTGAATTTGATTAAAATACACCATAAAAAGTGTTTGGTCACTAAGTTATACAGTAAACACACCAAAGGCTTGAACAATAATGAACAATACCAATAAATACCAGAACGAGAGATTACACATCACATTAATGATTAGGTCAGGAAAAATAAATATGGTCATGAAAAAGAAAACAACCTGACCTTTACAGAGCCCATCTTTAGTGTCTGCAGCTCTCTGGGGTCTGTCTAAAGAGGACAAGTCTAATTTCATAAACAGGGCTTGAGCACATTAAAATTGACCCGTTTCTTCCAGAGAAATACACACGAGATAGCAACTTGTTAAATGAAGGCTGCTTTTGCAGACAGGATAAGATGAAGAGCATTTGTTTTAGCTGACCCTTATGAAATGTCACATGTCAATTCATCAATATATGTGACCCTGGACCACAAAACCAGTCATAAGGGTAAATTTTTTTAAATTGAGATTTATACATCACCTGAAAAGCTCAGGGCTCGCAAAATCGCTAGCCCGATGTCCCGGGGCTATTGTATTTTCCAGTCGGGCTACCAAAATATATCACCGACCTGCCCGATGGGCTATCTTGAATAGTGATATAAAATTCCTAACTTGATTCGCGTTGTTCACTCGCTTGTAGGGGTGAAACGGATCGTAGGTGATCGTTTGCACTTGTTTCTAAGTCTTGACGATTTAAACATTCAAGCGTTTTAAAACATTTGCGCGCATTCGGAGCTAGCGCCCTGGTACTTTCTGCGTGCACTCATTCAAAGCGCGCACAGAGAGCTGTGTTTCAGACAATGCGCGTACACATAATTGATTCCTCTTTCGTGTATCCTTGCTTCTGAATGAACACATACACACAAAATGATCTCAAAATAATTGTCTCTGCAAGTATTCTCGTAAACACAGTCGGTTATGTCTTAAAGGGTTAGTTCACCCAAAAATTACTCAGCCTCGTGTTGTTTGAAACCCGTAAGACCTTCGTTCATCTTCGGAACACAATTTAAAGGGGTCATATGATGTTGCTAAAAAGAACATTATTTTGTGTATTTGGTGTAATGAAATGTGTTTATGCGGTTTAAGGTTATAAAAACACTGTCTTAAGTGAACGTAAACAGTGAAGAAAGAAATCTCCTGTGCATCATTATATTGGATCCGTGCATTCGGTCTTAAAGGGGCAGCAGCCTTTAAATACCTGCTGTTCCATTAGTGCCACCTGCTGTCAGAGAGTGACATTTGCATCTCATTCACGAAGCAAAAATCAGACCATTCTGTTTTTGCTTCAAATTTTGAAATTATACAATCCAAATCACATATATTTAGCATCTTTTTTTGGATAGTAATTCAAATTCAGTGGTTGCCTCTGATTTTAAATAGAGCACAGGCAAAGCCTTTGTTTATATGAAGAGATTTCTTTTAGTTGTATAATTTTTTATTTGATTTGGGATTGGTTTTAAAATTTCAAGTTAGTTTTATTATTTAACATTTCAATTTCACAAAGAAATATGCAGCATTTTGTCTAAAAAATAATAATAGGACACCTTTTCATTTATAATTTGTCTTGAATGTCATTTTGTAAAAAAAAAAAAAAATTTTTCTTACAATTTATTTATATGTGTAATCTGTATCATGAATTTTATCGCATCGTAAGTTTAGTGAATCGTTACATCCCTATATGCTACTAGTTTTTGCTGATCATGCTGATTTGTCTACAGTAAAGTTCAGCCGATGTCTTTTTTTATTAGGGCTAGTTAAATTCATTTTGGGCTACCAAAACCTGAAGAAGAGCCCTGAAGCTGAATAAATAAGCTTTCCATTGATATGTGGTTTGTTAGGATAGGACAATATTTGGCCGAGATACAACTATTTAAAAATCTGGAATCTGAGGGTGCAAAAAAAATCTAAATACTGAGAAAATCGCCTTTAAAGTTGTCCAAATGAAGTTCTTAACAATGCATATTGCTAATCAAAAATTAAGTTTTGACATATTTACGGTAGGAAATTTACAAAATATCTTCATGGAACATGATCTTTACTTAATATCCTAATGATTTTTGGCATAAAAGAAAAATCGAAAATTTTGACCCATACAATGTTTTTTTGGCTATTGCTAAAAATATACCCAAGCGACTCAAGTTTTGTGGTTCAGGGTCACATATATCAAAGAATTCTGAAAAAAATATTAAGCTGTTTTCAACTTATCTTCGTTATTGTTCTGCAGAAGAAAAAAAGGCATACAGTCTGGAACGACAGAAGGAGGAGTAAATGACAGGATTAGTGTTGTCAAAAGACCCGGTACTTCGGTACCAAGTCGGTACTAAAAAAATTAAAACGTTACGGTACCAGGTTTTTTTTAAGTACCGGTGGTACCGAGTACCCGGTCAACCCGGTTCTTGATGCGCTATCCGAAAGGTACGCAGATGCGCTCTCTTCATAAAAGCACTGAATGCGTTCTCTTCATAAAAGCACTGAGACATGGCGACCTCAAAATGAGGAAACACATCAAACTAACAAAACACTTTAAAGACAGACGCCCAGATCAAATGAAAGAGTTCAAGCAGGTAAGTTTCATTTTAATTTTTTATATTTAGATCAGTGTTTCCCATACATTGATTTATTTGTGGCGGCCAAAATAGATTTTGCAAAAGGCTTTGACTTCGTTGAATAAACATGAGCACTGCACGTGTCAAAGTCAAAACCAGATTGATTACAGCCGTTACTGGGGAAACCTCAATCTCTCCCGCTTTACAAGCGCCTCCTGCTGGCAGAGAATGAATTTGCATATATATGGCGCCACAAATAGAGTGCAAGTCTGTGGGAAACACTGCTTCTGTCATGAATATTATTCAATATTTTAATTTGATTGTCGGATTGAAATGAACACTGTTTTAACTACTCTAAAGTAGTTAATCGTTAGCTAATATAATGAGCATTAGAATGAAGTTTATTTATTAACTATTTAATGCTCCTATAACTTTTATTAGGGTAAAAAAACAGGAGGACATGATGATATTTACTATTTTTACACACCAGAGGCTTTTAAATGAATTGTGAATCTAAAATATGCGTGTTAGAGAATGTACAAATGGTTAACATTGTTTGTGTCATATCAGTCAGAAAAGCAGTTCTGGCTGAATAACTCTAAGTTTTCAAAAGCCCTTTAAAATATAATAAATATAAATATGTACACAGTTTGGATTAAATTAAAGTATAGTCCAATTTTTTAATTAGCATGTTTTTGTGTTTTGCTTTGGTACCGAAATTGGTACAGAGAACCGTGGATTTTCACTGGTATTGGTACCTAATACTGAAATTTTGGTACCGTGACAACACTAGACAGGATTTTCATTTTTGTGTGCATTATCCCTCTAAATTATCAATACTTTTTCAGCTGTTTGATTAGACAGCATATTATTATCAGCATGGACCTTGTTTCCTCCTCTTCAGTTTCTAAAAAAGACCTTGTCACGGTCAAGGTGTGTGGAGGCAGGCA